GGACACCAGAACAATGTTCTTTGTGTTGCCATTTGTCTCCTCTTTTCTGGAAAGTGGGTCTTCTTCCATTTGAGCACCTCTCATGACCAGTTCTCAAATTCTTAAGTTACCCTCTGGAAACACTTCTTAATTCAACTTCCACTCAGTGCTTATATGAGTCTCAGGAATCCCTCCTGCAATCTTCATATTTGTCTCTGTACTCTAGAACCTATTAATTTTTTCTTCTGTAACGAATTTTGAGACTTTTAAAATCCAAGGCAAGAATCAACAGCAACTCCTAATCAGGTTTTGGGCCCTTGAGGGCAGGGAAGTTCAAATCCTCCCATGAGATGAGGGGAAGTCGTTGCATTGCATACGTCTATTACAAAGAAAAGAAATAAAAGCCGAAAGAGTAATTTCCCTATGAAAACAGTCTGAATATCTACTGTATATTGCTACATTCTTTTAACAGAAGATAAGATAGGTAGTTATAAAAAATATTGAAGTAATGAAATGATAGGAGTTCCTGTTCCAGCTTTGGGGATGACAAGCTATGTAACATTAAACAGGCCATTTAGTCTCATTGGACATGTTTCTCCAATTGTGAAATAAGGGAGCAGGACTTGATGGAGAAGCCCCAGGTTCTATGATTCTGAGATCCTGAAAGAATTTAAATATGTGACATGTGCCACTCATTTATGAACATACCTCTGATATTTAACTCTGCTTATAAAATAATGGTTCAAAACTCTTAATTGCACTATATAAACTTTTAGTTAGTAGTATGAGAAAGATCAGCACATGTGCTTCTCCTTCCTCCTTGTATGGCTGAGTTTAGCACACTTAATCTCGTACTACTCTTTCTGTGATGACTTTTAAAAGCCAGGAATAAAAGTTTAAAAAGACCTTTAAAAAAAGATATTCAGAAAATATGAAGTCAATTTTTGCAATTTGAGAGTGGAAGTGCACTTTGTTCTGAAGTAGACTATTTTCAGGATGTGTCTGTGTATGTGCATATTTCTCTGTGTATATATATGAATATTTTCTATATATGTATAATTGGCATCAAGGTATGACAATGGATTTTCTTTTGTCATAACTATTATATGAAGAAAATCAAGAAGCTTTGAAAAATTTACCTTAGTTTATATTTGAAAGGCAAATTAATACATTTATTTTGTCTTATCGTATTTCCAAATAATTTACTTTCTTATAGATTGATGGCAAAATGTCAGTCTTCGGGAGCAGATGTTCTTTGTGTAGGTTAAAAATGGATGCAAGTGTATATACCCAAAAGTATTGAAAGCAGGGCCTCAAAGATATATTTGTGCACTCATGCTCATAGCTGTGCTGTTCACAATAACAAAGAGGTGGAAGCAACCCAAATGTCCATCAACAGATAAATGGGTAAATAAAATATGTATATACATGTAATGGAATATTGTTCAGCCTTAAAAAGGAAAAACATCCTGTCACATGCTACAACATGGATGAATCTTGAGGACATTATGTTAAGTTGAATAAAGCAGTCACAAAAAGACAAATACTGTATGCTTTCCCTTATATGAAATATCTGAAGTAGTCAAATTCGTAGAAAAAAAAAAGTATAATGGTGGTTACCAGGAGCTGGAGAGAGGAGGAAAAGGGGATTAGTACTTTAATGGATATAAATTTTCAGATTTGCAAGATGACAAAGTTCAGGAGATTTGTTTCATAACAATGTGAATATACTTAACACTACTGAACTGTACACTTAAAAATGGTAAGATCATTTTACATTATGCGCTTTTTATCACAATAGTAAAAGGATGCAAGTGACAAGAGAAGTTTAAAGCAATGATTATTCAAAATATTAGTTTGTCATTCATTATATATTTTCATTCATATGCATTTATTTAGTTTTCCCTCACAGGGGTTAACAGAATAAAATAATATAAGTGAAAACAAATATCTTTATTAGATACTCTTGCAAACCTGAAAACCCATACACAATTTCAAAATAATTGTAAGCAAAATCGTCATTGAGCTGTGGTAGAAGGTGCGATGGATTTGAGGTAGGAGAACCTAGGATTGCATGGCTAGCCCTATGAACTACTAAATTTTAGTTGCCTTAATAGCGAGAACTGTTTTATTTCTTTGTATCCTCCCTAAAGGCCTAGCACAGTGTCTTAGATGTTACTTGTTGGAGTTCAATTATGCTTTTAATTGAGTTATATTTTGAATAGGAAGGATGAACAAAGAAGGAAGTGCTACACTGGCAACTACTTGTTACTCTGGCATGTAAGCGGTAACCAGAGGTACACAGGTGACAGGCCACCTCTTGGAGAAAACCAGCCAAGGCCAGGGTCAGGATCACAATATTAGGACTGGTTTTCAGCTTAGTGTGGGAAGCAAAATTTTTGAAAATTGCAAAGCCCAATGTCAAATCTTGTAGTGAGAACCAAGCAAAGCTAGAACATGACCCTGAGCAAGAAATAACCAGATCATAAAAGACAAAGAAACAAAAGAACCATAATATAGGAAGGCTGGTAGCTTAAAGTGTGGCATATGTGATTGGAGTACCGAGGTCAGTCAGCCAATGAAGAAGAGACTCTGTACCATGGTAAGGCAATTAAATTGATGGTGACAATGGTAGGGGGTATTTATAGTCTCATTTAAGATTTAGCTTAAAGTTACAGACCCTCTCAAGTGAAAGGGAAATCAACATACACCGCATACACACACACACACACACACACACACACACACACAGACACACACACAGAGTGCTCTGAATGCCCGCTAAAGGGTTTGTGAGCCCACCAAAGCTAATGAGTGGACCCCTTGAAATCGGTGGATCTCAGAGTGTGACTCACCTACCTCGTACTTTTATACTTTTGAGGGCAGAAACACATAAAATTAATGGCCACAGGTCCGTTCCAATTCCCAACAAGGCAAAGCTTATGAGAGGTCCTGTGCTTTATGTCCTCAACTAAATCAAAGCAGTACTGTTTACCTAGTGCTAGCTACAACTGTCCAGTTTAGTTGGTATAGTAAAAATAATTAATTTTTATGGTCGTTGTCTCAGAAATTTGTCTATTATATGTACCAGTAAAAAGTTTTTAGAGCATCTCTTATAAATGCATATTTTTTAATTTATAAATTACATGAATGCACTATTATAGCAATGCATTATGTGCTTACTGAACATAGAAAAAAGTAGAAATGTAAAACAGGGAAGAAAAGTAAAATATAAACAAATTCTAATATTTTCTTTCTACATGCCCAAAGAACTGTCTTGTACACCCTTAAGGTGTAGTAATCCTATTTAGAAAATACTATTCTTTAGGTTAATTATGCATATCAAAGCATGGAAATAAAAGCAAGTAAGGTCATTTTGATAGGAATGCCTCATTTTAAGAAAGTATAATTTATATCTCAAAGTCTAAATTTACAAGATAGAGTACATATAACTTATATCTCAATGAGTGTCTGTTTCTGTGACCTTCTTGCAGTCAAACCAGATATTTTTTTCATTTTCATTTCTCAGTGTCTACAATAGCATTCTTCACAGAGTTGTCTTTTTAAAAAGACACTTTTACAGTGCATCTAATATAAGGATTGATACCCGTTTTCCTAAAACTCTTTAGGAACACACCTCTACTTATGTTCCCAGTTTTATGTCTGGTGACATCCGGTTTTATATTCTACTCTTTTTACCATGTTGAATACCAACAGTGTTAAAAATGTGCTGTACCACCTCCTGTCCCTTCACCTTTGCCCATTCTAATCTCAGCCAGGCATGTAGCCCTCCTCTATTTACTTCTTCAACTGCCTACTCATTCTTCAGAACTAAGGTCTGCTGTTTCTTCCTTTGATCAGTCCTCTTCTACTGGCTCTTAGCAAGCTCAGCTACCACTAACATAGCCATTTGCACATTTGACTGTTTACTTTTCTGCCTTTCCCTCTTTATACCAACATTGTGGGCCTGAGAAACAATAATGTAAACAAAAATAAGGAGATTCTCTTTAGTGTTGGCTCTGTGCTAAGTCCTCAATCATTGTCTCACTTAAAAATAGGATGCAGGTATGTGTGTGTGTATGTGTGTTTGTAGAAATAATTTTTGCTTATTTTTTCTCATATTGCTTATTAATTTATGTTCATATGGTCATTATAGAATGCATAATACACAAAAGACATTCACAAATTATATTAACCACGTCTGTCTCAATAAGAAAAGTATAAAAGACAAGCAATTTACTCAATAATTTAGATTAAAAAAAACACACTACACCTCAGTGTTTGGAACCTTAGACAATCTCAGCCATTGCTTTAATATGTACAAATGACAGAATTTGAAAAACTGTTTATCCAGGTATTTTGTTTCTCTTTTCTAACAATTTGTATATTCTTCTTGCTAGCATTAAAATCAAAATGGAAAAACATTAATAATATTTTATTTATGAAGACAAGTGAGTTGACTTTAATAAAAATATTGATTCATGTCTTGCTTTTCAGTAAGAAATACCACCCATGAAGTCTGCTGGCACTTGCTGCTAGTAATAATGTAATTTCAAGAAAGCCAGAAAAAGTGCATACCTTCCCTTGAAAAAGTGTGAATTATTTATTTTTCTTAATAGAAAATGTAAAGTGCATCAGTGTTTGGCTGGTAACAATTTAACAGCATATTTTAACCTAGAAAATGGAAAACATCAAAAGGGCTTGTCATAAATTAATATAAACCATAATAATATATCTCCCTCTCTATAGAGAATAGGCATATAATTTAAAATCTAAAAACAAAGGATTAGATAATAAATTACATTCAGCTTTCATTAATATAGCTATTCTTTCTTTTTTTAAAGAGAAACTTCACCCAGGCTATACAGATTTCAGTCTTCCTCTTCTCCACAAAAAAGTATCCTATTTATGTAGGATTTTTACATCATGCAGATGGAGGTCATAGACAAAAAAGGTATTTTTCATGGTTATTGAAATCATCATATATACTAACAATTTCCTTCTCTTGCCACTCTTGTTAGAGAATAGTTGAGTTCGGTCACATGGCATGGTTAACACCTGGAAGTCACTCAAGGTAATAACTACCATGGATTTGTTGCTTATTCAGAGGAAACATATCAGAATGGAAGTAAAGAAGGCAAAATTTTATGTCTCTTTTGACACACAAGGACTCAAATCTCATCATTGTCTTTACGTCATCCATTATACCAGTAAAAAGATCGAACTCTCAATAAATATGTTCTTTGTCTTAAAAGAAACTTCTAGAAAACGTAAAAATGCACTGCAAATGAAATATCTTGATTATTTCAGTTCAAACAGGACATGATTTTCATTTTGACCCATGGCCCTGGCCATAAACACAAGGTGCATGCATTTTTTTCTACAATTTGTGCTTTGTGTAGAGTACTAAGTTTCTCTCATAACATTATTCACCACACTTGTTCATTTCTCAGTATGGAAAAAAAATACAGAGTGTAATATAAAAAGTTTAGCCATACTCTTTATACTGAATAGCAATCATTTAACTGTGTTCCACAGATCTCCAAGGCATTTTCAATAGTATCAATCTAAGAAGCTTCTCTAGGAATTTCTTTAAATCTGGTTTAATAATGACGACATTTTCATTTTGTCCCTATGACTATTCCTGTAGATTCTATGGCATTTAAAAGGTACATATGAGCTCAAAAAAAAGACACAAATCTTGTAAAGATCAATTTTTTTTTTCATTTAAATAGTGGCCTATGTCACAAGTTAGAAAAAAAGTAAAGGTTTTTCTTTACATACAAAGCTTATGCTAATTATGGCAATTATTTTGGGATCTGTAACTTAAAATGAAGCCCTTTGAAGGCAGAACTTTAATTTGTAGCTATGGTTCTTGTTCTCAGAAGCTGTATGTGTTTTTAATTATTGTCTTTATTGACCAGTGATTGGCTAAATCCTTTTCTCAAAAGACATCACCACATTCCACATTACTATGTTCCTAGCTGTTCTGTTGATGTTTCTTGCCAGCTTCCCACGTTGTTTGAAGAAGTACTTACTGCATCTGTAAGAGTGTGTCTGTCAGGATCTTGCTATTTGCAGTTCATTCACTTAAACTCATTAAAGCCTTTAGGGTATTTTGTGCCTAGACCAGTGAAGATGTATTGTGATCAACATAATTTGAATTCAAGTGGATTAAAATCTCATTGTAAGGGATACAAAATCAGCAATAACTCACATGCCCAGATGTCTCATTCTAATGCAGAATTGTCCAGTATTCACCACTTGCCAATGTGAGCAGGAGAGGCTTAAAAAGTTTTTAATAATCTTTCCTTCCAGAGTTAAATCAGGAATCAGTTTCCCAGAGATTATGTGGAAATGAGGCAAACTTACCTTCACAGTGTCAGTCATCCTCAAAGTTCAACTAGATACCAAAAATTTAGTATCTATTACCTGATGATGGATAATTACCTGAGGATTAGTAATAGAAACTTTTCATCAAACTTAATCAAGTTCATTAAAATGTTACTAGCACTGGTAGATTGCCTGCTACCTTGAGCACTGTTACAGAAGGTAATTGATAAGTCTGTAATCTTGAAAAACTTCTTAGAAACTACTACAACTAACTAAAATCGTTCCTGTTTTTCCATTTCCATGATAGATATTTAACATTAGTAACAATAACAGTAGAGATAGCCTGGGTGCAGTGGCTCATGCCTGTAATCCTAGCACTTTGGGAGGCCGAGGTCGGTGGATCACCTGAGGTCAGGGGTTCAAGACCAGCCTGGCCAACATGGTGAAACCCCATCTCTATCAAAAATATATATATATATATAAATTAGCTGAGCATGGTGGCGGGCGCTCTAATCCCAGCTACTTGGGAGGCTGAGACAGGAGAACCGCTTGAACCTGGGAGGTGGAGGTTGCAGTGAGCTGAGATTGTGCCATTGCATTCCAGCCTGGGGAATAAGAGCGAAACTCCATAACACACACACACACACACACACACACACACACACACACACACACACACACAGAGAAAAGAATAGTAACAATAACGGGAATGAATTTGTTCCTGGAAATCATCTATTTGCAGAATCTGCATTTGTTTGTGAGGGAAAATACTCCAGTGATACATTTTATTGAATTATGGAACATAAAAATGGTAATATCACACAGCTTATGTAACTGCAGTCTTGTATTGTGGCCTTTAAAATACACTCAATACGCTCAGATACTTTTTGGGAATTTGAAAAAGGTCACTTTTCAGTGGTTTCTTCGTGTGATTCCACATTTTAAAAGGTGCAACCAGAATTTCCTTATTTGGTTCCATTATTTACTAATCTGCACATGATTTAGACTACCAAAATGATACTTCTCTTAAATGTTAGTTATGTTTTTTGGGCTTCTACACTAGTATTTATATTTTTTGTCATTATGTATTACTACAATGTGTTATTCAGATGCTATGAGTACTTTGACTATATATTGGTTGAATTCATTGAAAACTTTATCCAATGAAATAGTATAGAAAGTTCATAATCATAATGTATTATGCAAAATGAGAGATAAATCAGACTTTAGTTCGACCTTTAAGGAGTTTTACATTTAGTAAGGAGATATGAGATGTACACCTATAATATAAGGTAATTAACAATAACTGATATAGTAAGATCATAGCAATTTTTTTACAAGTTCAGAGGAGAGACTGTATTTCTAGCTGTGTAAATTCAGGGAAGGCATCTATCGAACAGATAATCACAGCTCTCTAAATACGATAATCAGAAATTCCCAGCCACTTGAGTCAACAGCACCTAGGAGCCTTCGGGCAGGGCTTAGAGCTGCTCTGTGTCCTCTTGTTTTACCGAAGTTTAGTATTTCCCTATGGGAAAGGAATGTACCCTACCAATGCACCCTTATGCCTCTCTACCTTGTTCTGGCTGCAGCTCATTTATTTCAAACCCTGTGTAAAGGGTTTTTTTTTTTTTTTTCTTTCTACGATTGATTTGGGATCTTTTGCTATAACAGCACGTTCTCTGTTATTTATTAGGCCTGTGTGATTTGGGTATAGTAAACTCGCAATAGACATGTACTGATTGAATGTTGAATGAGTGACTAGTGAGTGATTGAGTGAGAGAGTGAATGAGTGGGTGAGTGACCATCAGCTGGGAAACAAACCAGCCCAAGAAAAACAGCTGGGCTCTGACTATATTATGTCATGTAAATTTCACAAGAACTCTTAGCATCATTCTTTGAACTCTATTGTAGTTATTCAATAAATATTTGTTGGACATGATGTTCCTCAAAATCCTCAAGTTGTACACTCATATTACAGTATTTACATTGTTAGGGAAAGCTATCTCCTTGTAAAAGGGATAATCCTATTTCACTACTGCATAAATAGATCATTATGTAGTGTGTCCAACCGCTTTCCTAGAAATAACCCCTTCGAGGTTCAAAAAGGAACCAAAAGTGATTAGATTTTACAAATGTTATACCACTTCTTACTACATATAGTATTCAACAAAAAGAAAATCCCAGAAGACAATTCTGTTTGCCCTATAGGCCTACTATCATAAAGTCTCATTGTTACAGCATCTACATTCTGGCATTTGTTTGTCAAAAATGGAGTGGAGGTAAAGTATTCTTTTTGCCAGTTTATGTGATGCCATAAAGCAGCATTTTTCATTTTTCAACACTTATTAGCTCAGCTCCCCAGCTGTGTAGCACCACGCCCTGGTGTGAAATTGAGAGAGAGAACTCTGAAAAGTTTATATTGGCTTAAATTTATAGCTTTCTTTTGGGTGGGGGAAGGGATTTTTTAAAAGGACATTGTAATTTTGTGATGTTGTATTATAAAACCTCTATAATATGAAATAATATCTATGGGAATAATTATCAGTATATTGTGTTTGACTCCCCTAAAGCAATATTAATGGCTCTGTATTTAGAAGAAGAGTGAAGTAGGAAGTTTTTAATTAATTGTAAGTTAATTGACTGACCCGTTTAAGCACTTTTATATCCTGCAACATGTACAGCTGAGTGTCTTGCATGAAAAATATGTTCAAATATGTGAGCCTTAGACAAAAATACAAGCTCAAACTCCACTTAAACAGTTGGATTTTGACAGAATTATTTGTATAATTGCTTTAAAACTTTATATCTCTTGTTTTCTGGAGAGCAATTTCAAAAAGACAAAATTAAATTGATTTCACTGAAGGTTCGGTATGGTCACCAGAAAATGGGTTAAAACAGTTATTGTAGCATGATGTAGCACATTAAAATGAAATGACTGACTACAAGCTAAAAGTTTTAAGACAAACTTAATCCTTGGCTACTTCTTTCCTGCTCTCACACACACCCTAACATGTGACAAACAAGGCGGAGATTTTTAAAACATTTTAAAAACTACATCTTGAGTGAGACAGTACAAGTAAACTCAGATCAAACTCCTTATGTTTATGTTGTGTGAAAGGCTTAACTATCAACACAAAATCAGGTTTTTAGCTTTCTTCTAAGTAATACTTTATATTGGAAGTAGAGTGGAGAAAGAAAGAGCCTTTACACATCCTAAACAAGCTTGAAAGAGATGCACAGATATCTTTCCAGCCAGGGTGGGAGGGAGGATCCGCGAGTCAAGACTTGCACGCTGCCCAGGCTGGCACTGACAGTACATAAATACCTTCGTGTACATACTATCAGAATGAACTGAAAGCAGCCTTAATTGGCTTGATGACTTTGCACATGTAAAATGCAAAGTAGCAGTTGCATATCTTCTAAAATAATCTTGGAATTCCAGGGCTATCTTCAATTTAGTGAGCTCTTTTAATCTCTGTAATTGTAATCTTATTCCAGATAGAAGACCAGGACATTGGACATTTCAGCAGGCATTTCAAAAAGTGACATTCAGCAGGCATTTAAAAAAGTGACAACACTAATTTTTATGCCAAGTGTAAGGATTATTCTTTAGAAATAAGTGAGACATCTTAAAGAGAGCTCATTGATGCCCAAATTCTATCTTTTCACCATGGTTGTGAGGTACAAGGAAAGGGCAGCAGCTGGAAAATGAGGCTGGTATACAGCCATTTACAGAGAAAGACTCATTTTGAGTACAAAGAACTGCATCTGGAAAGAGGATAAAGTGGTTTCACAGACAGCACCTGGTAGTTTGAACAATAGAAGAAAATAGGTACCATCACTCAAATAAAATCCACATGGGCAAAAGTTACACCTTGGACTTCTCGACCAGCGTTAATATGTAGCCCATATTTTCACTTGGGAAGACACAAACGACAGGCTAGGATTCAGAAATTCATCTCAGATCAGAGGCCTTTTTTCTATTTTCTATTTTTTTTTTAACATAGGAGTGACATGTTCATGTATGTAACAGGCTAGCTCTGGCACATAGAAATAACAATAAGAGTGAATGAGAGGCTATAAGAAGACACTTATTAGTAATCTTTTTCTGTCTTTTTTTTTTCTTTTGAGATGGAGTCTTGCTTTTTTGTCTAGGTTGGATTGCAATGGCTCTTTGCAGCCTCCACCTCCAGGTTCAAGCGATTCTCCTGCCTCAGCCTTCCGAGTAGCTGGGACTACAGGCATGTGCCACCACACCCAGATAATTTTTATATTTGTATTAGAGATGGGGGGTCTAACCATGTTGGCTAGGCTAGTCTCCAACTCCCGACCTCAGGTGATCAGCCCGCCTCAGCCTCCCAAAGTGCTGGAATGACAAGCGTGAGCCACCGCACCCAGCCCTTCAATAGACTGAGAAGTATGGGAGAGAGGGCAGATTAGAAAGGTTGAATGGTTTAGGACTTGGTTATCCATTTGACTTGGAGATGAGGTATAGGAAATAATCTAAAATGGCTATTTTAAAGTGTTCTGGTGAAGATATTAACAAGTATAAAGAAGCAAGTGTAGAATGAAGAAAAGTAGTTTAACGTTTGGTGGGTTGTTTGAGGTGTTAATGGGAATTTGGTGACAGCTGTGAATTTTAGTCTAAAGCTCAGATTGGGGATAGAAATAAATTTTGGGAGTCATTAGCATATAGGAATCAAAGAAAGCTACAGGAATTGAAAAATCATTTTGGGAGAAAATTTGTAGGAGAAGAAAAGATAACTTAGAAATCATTTTTTAAAACCCACATTTAAAAGCTAGATCAAAGAAGACAAATTAGTGAAAACCTCTCAGGAATTCTGCAAGTACAAGGAAATATGGTGAAATGTCATGAAAGCAATGGAGACAGTTGTTTTGAGATGTAGGTGAAAAACTATGGGGTGCTACAGAAGGATGAAATGAATCCATTGGATTTAGCAGGTAAGGGAGAGGTGACCAGAAAAGTTTCTGAGAGCAGGTTCAGTAGAAATGTGGGACTCGGGGTCAGATTGCAGTGACTCAAGTTGGGAATCTGGAATGAGAAAGTGTACACAGCAAGTGTAGTCTGTTCCTTTAAATAGTTTACTTGTAAAGCAAAGAAACAGGGCTGGAAAAAAAGGTATTTTAAAATATGGGGATGATGCTAACTTATTATAAACTGACAAAAGAAGCTGAAGGAAAAGAATAAACAGAACAATCACATGCAGGAACTCAAAGATGAAAGGGGAAGGGAGCCGGAGCCTGGAAGAGCAAGGCCATGCTGCTTCTAACACTAGAAAGGGAAGAATGGCTAAAGAAATAGAGGTAAATCTGAATGTGAGAATAGAGTACACCCTGCAATGACCATTTTCTAAGAATAA